GTCTCCTCCTACACTAGCAAGTGCGCCACTTCATTTTTTGTCCGAGGATAGTGCTGCCTGCAGCTTCCATTTCCCATTTTCTCCAAAAGTTTACGTATGTTATTAGACCACCCACAGCGTGGGTTGGTTTTGTGGGAAAAAGGGGAAATGTGACCACAATGTGGGGGGGAATAGGGGATTAAATGGGTTTTATGGGTTTAGTGGGTGGGAAAACCCACCAGATGAGACAAATGGTGGGGGGAAAGGGGAAGGGGTGGGGCTCACTTCAGTTTGTTTTTTATTTTATTTTTTTATTATTATTTTAATGGTTTAGTGTTTGTTTTTAGGGTTTAGTGTTTATTTGTTTGCTTTTATTTCTTCTTAATTATGTTTATGTTCAACTATCAATGTAACAACTTTCTTGTATAAATTATTGCGATTTCTTCATTAATGACGTTAATTAGTGATGAAAAAAAATATGTCCAAATTAGAAAAAAAATTATATCAAAATGTTCGTATTCATTAATTATCACTAACTATGTAAAAATAATGATCATTATATAAAAATAAAGTGTTGAAATCAACTATAAATTGATTTTACGAAAAAAAGTGTTCAACCAATTACCCCTTTTTCCCACACCAACATTGTGACCAAACCCTCTCATTTTCCCCCTTTTCCCTCTTTTCCCACCTTTCCCACCCTCCCACATTGTGGATGGTCTTAATGGCATATTATTCCCAACTCCGTTTGAGTGTCATGCACGTCATGGAGTACACTCACTTGATTCAAGCAATCCGATTCAAGTATCGGGGTCCCAACTTGCAGCTGTAGGTCGAGCTGAAGGCCAAATTCAGCGGCTAGTGCTTCTGTCATCTCGACCATCAAGCTACCCGGAACTCGTTTCACCGCCGCAAAGATAAACCTTCCGTCCGCATCTCTAACAACTGCACCAAGACCTACCCACTCCAATCAGAATACTAACATCGATGTTAATCTTAACCATCCCATAATTAGGCTTCATCCACTTTCCTCCTCCCTTGACCGGCAGTTCATCCCTCTGAAAAAAATCATATTCGAATCCATTTAGTTGGGTTTGTTTCCAACTCATGGATTTAGATATTTTATCTACAAAGCCTATATTAAGGATTTTATAATTATGAGTTTAACTTTTTAAATAAGTCCGAAACATTATGAAAATTAAATTTTAGTGCTTCAATACTTTTCCAATTGAATATATATTTTTTTCAAACAAATCCAACTATGTATATGTATTAATATATGATATTGCCTTTATATAAAAAAAGATTACTCAATAATTGAATAATGGTAATCCCTAATCCCGGGCCAAGATCAGGTGACTAGGGGGGTCCCCCTTAGTCACATGGCTAAGTGAATCTAAGCCACTCAACCTCATTAAAATTCAAGGGCTCCAATTAATTCAATTTAATGAAGGACAATATGGTAATTGCATGTTTATTTTTTATTTATTAATAAATTTAAAAATAACCTCCCTCTCGTGAGGATTTTTGCTGCACGGTTTCCGGCGTACCAACGCTACCGACGACCAGAAAATTTTATACGCTGCCGGGTTTCCGGCGTACCTGCGTCACTGGCGACCAGGAAAATTTATGCGCTGCCCGGCGTCCCGTTGCCACCGCCGGCAAATATCTCCCCCTGCTGGGTTTTTTTCATTCCATAATTTTGACTTTGTGACGTCCCGGGAGAGAGAGAGGGCAGCGCCCCGTCGCCGCCGCCGGACAGGAATTTCCCCCTGCTGGGTTTTATTTCATTCCCATAAACCCCATTTTGGCTTTGTGTCGTCCCCGGAGAGAGAGAGGGAGAGAGAGAGAGAGAGATTTTCTGGTTGGAAATTTTTTTTCGACGGACATCGTCGCCGGAGAAGAATTTCCTGGCGACAGTGCTAATTTTGTGATTTTTGTTGACATATTTTGTAATATTTGTCGGTTTTTTTTGTAATGTTTGTAAACTTTGTTATTTTTATGCACCATGTTTGTAAACTTTGTTATTTTTGTCAACCATGTTTGTAATGTTTTTTATGTCTAAAAAACAATCTGGTTGACTTTTGGATGGAACTCCTCTATATAGGGATGAAGCCTCCAAAGTCAACCCGGGTGTTTTTTCTAGTTCGTATGGATTGTCGGTCTAGTTTGTCATTTTTGTCCACCATGTTCGTAATGTTTGTATGTCTAAAAAACACCCGGGTTGACTTTGGGAAGGAGCCCCTCTATATAGGGATGGAGCCTCCAAAGTCAACCCCGGTGTTTTTTCCCGTTCGTATGGATTGTCGGTCTAGTTTGTCATTTTTGTCCACCGTGTTCGTACTGTTTGTATGTCTAAAAAACACCCGGGTTGACTTTGGGAAGGAGCCCCTCTATATAGGGATGGAGCCTCCAAAGTCAACCCGCTTGTTTTTTCTTTTTGTATGGTTTGTATTGTTTGTCAGTCTAGTTTGTAATGTTTGTAAATCTGTTTGTATGTTTTGTCGCTCTAGTTTGTACTGTTCGTATGTTTGTATGGTTTGTACTGATTGTAAATCCGGTTTGTATACTTCGTAATTTTCCATAATACCCAAACTACCCCTGTCATTAATTAAATAGCCCTTCCCACTTTTTAACCATTGGATTGAAGTGTCCAAATCTAATGGCTAGGAGGGGCTTAGCCAAGTGACTAAGCTCCCCCTTAGTCACCAGATCCGCTCTCCCTAATCCCTACTATTATATCATAGCATTCAGTCGTTAAGAACATAACAAGACATTGTCAGCCCTGCTCTTAATATGAAATATTCATTCATTATAAACACTATGATGTATCTTGTGACAAGTTGTTTTTCAAGTAGTTGAAATATGAATACTAGGGCTTGGCTTATCTAGTGAAAAGATAGTGCCCCAAAATTATAGCAAAAATTCATGTAGTTAACCCGCCATTGAAACTTTTCCTTCACTTCGCTTCAAGCTCACCAAAGCTCCCAAACAGACACCATTAAAACCATGCACGTTGTATTCTTTCCTCGTCCGAGCACTCCCAACACCCACTAGCTAGCCTCTCTCCAAAGCACCACAACCATGGCCAGAACTTCTCTTCTCGTTTCTCTCGCCATCATCTCTTCCATGGCTGCGACCCAGTTGAACGCCATGAAAACTCCTACCGGAGCACCCTGGGCCAACACATTACCTTTCGAACTCGAACATGAAACCTCGACCCTGAAAATCACCAACCTCCGGTTCTACTTCCACGACACGGTCAGCGGGAACAACCCGAGCGGGATAAGATCAGGTGACTAAGGGCATGACTAAGCCAATCTCAACCATCCAGCCTCATTAAAATATGATGGTTCTAATTTATCTAGTTTAATGAAGGACAAGATTGTAACTACACATTTTATTTATTTAAAAATTAAAATAAAATAATAAACAATATTCAACTGTCGCTCCACCCTCCCGTCGCGATCCTTTTTGGGAATTTCCGCCGACGGCAGCGCGAGTCCGACAACGGCAGCACGAGTCCGGCGGTGGCAGCACGAGTCCGGCGGCGTGGTCCTCTCCCTGGGATTTTTATTCCCACCAGAGGGGGATTTATCTCCCAACAGAGAGCTTTCGTGGGGGAGATTGCATTTTTCTGGGGATTTTTCCCCAGCAGGAGAGAGAGTACTTTTTATGTTATGATTTGTATACTTTGTATTCATTTGTTTGTAATACAAGTTTGTAATGTTTGTAATGTTTGTTATTTTGTAATGTTTGTTGGTTTCTTTTGTATTGTTTGTAATGTTTGTATGACTATTTTGTATATATTGTAATTTGTAACTTTTGTTATTTAAGTTTGTATACTTTTATGTTATGATTTGTATACTTTGTATTCATTTGTTTGTAATACAAGTTTACCAATCTGTATTGTAAGTAGTGATATTCTGTACGTGTAGTATGCTTGTACTGTTTGTCGGTTTCTTTTGTAATGTTTGTAATGTTTGTTGGTTTCTTTTGTATTATTTGTAATGTTTGTTATTTTTGTCCACATGTTTGTCATTTTTGTCAACCATGTTTGTAATGTTTTTTGCATCACAAATCAATACATATAAAGTATACAAATTATTAATACTTACAATACAAAGCGACGTGATTTGCAGCACAAATCAATACATATAAAGTATACAAATTAATATTACAAAACATACAAACTATACAAATCATACTGACATTTTGTACAAAAATACTAACAATACAAACTAATGTTACAAAACATACAAACTATACAAATCACTGTTCTTCCTTCAGACGACGTATACGATGTCTCTCCACCGCCGCTGCCGCCGCCGCCGACTCTCTCTACTGTCGTCGCCACCTCTCTCTCTCTCCATCGTCGCGCTGCATCTCTCTCCTCCATTGTCGCCGACACTCTCTCTCCGTCGCCTCTCTATCCTCCACCATCGTCTCTCTCTCTCCTCTGGTTTCCCAACGACGACGAGATCTGCTTTCTCTCTCTTCAAAGCTGCCGCCTCTGTCACGTTCTTTCTCCTTTCCCTCTCTTCGTCGTCGCCGGCACCGTCGAGATCTCCATTGTCGTCGTCGCCGCCCTCTCTTCCATCATTGTCGGCGTTCTCCCCCGCTGCAGCGCTTCTCTCTCTCATGGGCGGCGGTGCTACGCAGAAGAAGACAGGCTGGAGGAAAAAAATAATTAAATAAAATTTTCATAATCCCAAAATTGCCCCTCTCATTATTTAATCATCCCTTCCCTTATTTCCACCATTAGATCAATTAATAAGGATCCAATGGCTGAGGGGGGCTTAGCCAAGTGACTAAGCACCCCCCTAGTCACCAGATCCGCTCTCAACCCGAGCGCAATCAAGGTGGCCGAGAGCCGCGACACGTGGAAGTAGCTCACCCTCTTTGGATCCCTCATGATTGCCAACGATCCACTGACTGAAGGCCCTGATCCAAACTCCAAGCTGGTGGGCTGGGCCCAAGGGCTTTACGGGTCCGCCTCGCAGCACGATATCGGTTTGATCATGGCCCTGAGCTTCGGCTTCGTGGAGGGGGACTACAGCGGGAGCTCCGTCAGCGTTCTAGGGAGGAACTCTGCAGCTAGCAGGGTGACGGAGATGTCGGTCGTCGGCGGGACCAGTGTTTTCAGGCTGGCGAGAGGTTATGCGGTGGCGGAGACTTATTGGCTCAATGTCGTCACCGGAGATGCAATAGTTCACTACAATGTTACAGTCGTTCATTACTGATAGATTGATACCTTTCTAGGCCTTTTGGCTAAGATCAAGTGTATTGGTAGATTGAACGTGAGCGATTTGTATTTTGTTAATAACAATAAAGGTCTCTCAACCTTTTTTTAGTTAAGAGGTGATTATTCAAGCTAATAAGTTAATTACTGGGTAAACAAATTTCGTTCGAATGAAAGTTAATTTGAATGAATAAAATAGGTTAACCACATTTGGAGTACTTGTATTATTATGTCATCTTAGTAAACACAAATCTTTAAAGTTTGTTTTTGTTTATAAATTTTTCATGCGCTATTTCGTTTATCTGGCTTTAGTTTCTCAATTTTCATTCAAATACATTAATCATAAATTTATATCATACTTAATAAGGCTTTTGCTATACGAGTTTCATTTTACTAATTATTTTATATGTAAATAGTTATGAATCTTCAAAAATAAATTATATTTCTTTTAAAAATAATTTGCAGTCTTGCCTATGCCCACCATTTCTCGACCAACAATTAAATGCTTATTCAACGATTACACTATATTTCAGTAAAAAAAAAATCAATATATGTGAATGTCTATCTAAACATTACGTGTAGTGTAGTCTAAGGAGCAAGGTTGTTAACCTCGATTAGATCATTGACCGACCAAGCAACTGGGTTCGGGTTGGCTAGTCGAATCGACATCAACTCAGCTAGCCTATTTATACACATTTAAAAAGATAAAGGTAATATAGTGTAGAAACCAGAGAATTTAGTGCCTGAAATGTAAGTTGATAGACATTTTGTACTCATTGTTCTTGTTGTGATTGAGTTTCCTTTGTTATTTGTTGATTGGATCAGGATGTGGTTTACATTTTATATGTTTGGTGTCGTGTTTAATGGGGTTTGGTGAGCTACCTTCTTGTGTAAAGGAACTAGCTAGACATGACTAGTTGCTCTGGAGATGATGAATTCGCCATTGGAGCATGCTTGTAGAAGTTGAACAGAGACAATGTATAGAGCTTCCTTTCACTTTATACACATCAACAACTTAGTGTCGAGCCTGTGTTGCTGGAGCATTTAAGTTGTTTACACTCCGCAGGATGGAATAATGTCGGATAGGAGTAGAGATTAGTTAATTGTGATTAAGCCTGTGTTTGTCACTTGACGTTCTCTTAATGGTTAGTTTAAGCGTTAGTCCCGTTATCATTAATCAGACTATTTTACTTTCTTTGGTGACTCCATAATCACTTGAAAGAGTAAAAGCATACAACAGTATCACGCTCTTCCTCAAAAGTATAATACAAAGAACTTGTGCAGTTGTCTTGTGAAGTGCAATGGTTGAAGTCTTTGTTGCAGCTTTATGGAATCACTCATTCTCAACATGTTGAATTTTTATGATGACATCTAGTGTGCAATTTATATTCCAAAAAATATGGTCTTTTACGAACACACAAAACATGTTAAAGTTGATTGTCATGTAGTTTGTGAAAGTCTGAAGTCAAGACTCCTGACACTCCAATACATCCCCACTGGAGATCAGTTGGTAGATCTCTTCACCAAATGATTGTCAGTTGAAATTTTTCGTTACTTGATGGGCAAGCTGGTAGTGACAATATGTGTTTGCCAGCTTGAGGGAACGTGTAAAGAAACTAAACATGACTAGTTGGTCTATAGATGACGAATTCACCATTGGAGCATGCTTGGAGAAGGAGAATAGAGACAATGTATAGAGATTCCTTTCACTCTATACATATTAGCATTGAGTGAGTCGCTGGAGCATTCAAGTGGTATACAGTCCTCAAGATTGAACGATGTCGCATAAAAGTAGAGATTAGTTAATTGTGATTAAACTTGTGCTTGCCACTTGACATTCTCTTATTAGTTAGTTTAAGTGTTAGTTAGTCTCGTTACACTTGATGTATACTTTCAGAGTATATATATGCAAATCTCACAGAGGACAAATGCACACTGCTTGTTTTCCACAAACGATTGTCTTCTTCCTTCTTGCTCTCAAACCCTAGTCGCTTCTCGAGCTAGGTTACAATCTTTCTCGTCTTGCTCACAATGGGTTTCGTCAATGGGATTCTTTGTTATGTATCTATTTGTTATAAAAATGGAGGGTTTTCTCGTGTATCTTCGATGATTTAGCTCTTTTAGCCCTTCTTCCATTCCATCATATGCGTTAGCGAGCTGGTTTGGCTCTTTGGATAAAAGTGGTGTGAAAAAATATTATTTAACCATAGTGAGCGGATAGAAGCTGAAGTGAAAGTTAATTTGACTGAATAAAGAAGGTTAAAGACATTTGAATTTCTTGTACTATATCATTTTAGTAAGTATAAATCTGTAAGTTGCTTTTCTTATGAAAATATTTGTGCATTATTCCTTCTTGTTCTCAAACCCTAGCCGCTTCTCGAGCTAGGTTACAATCTTTCCAATCTTGTTCACAATGGGTTTCGTCAAAGTGATTCTTTGTCCCATATCTTTTTGTTGTAACAATGATGGTTTTCTCATGTATCTTGGATGAGCCAACGTTTTCCTCCCTTCTTTCATTTTGTCCTATGTGTTAGCGAGCTGGTTTGGCTCATTGGATGAAAATGGTAAGAAAAAATATCATTCAAACATAGTGGGCGAATATAAGGTGAAGTGAAAGTTCATTTCATTGAATAAATAAGGTTAATGACATTTGAATTTCTTGCATTATTTCATTTTAGTCAGTATAAATTTGTAAGTTGGGTTTCTTATAAAAATATTCGTGCATTATTATTTCTTGCTCTCAACTCCTATACGCTTCTCGAGCTAAGTCAATCTTTCTCATCTTGCTCACAATGGGTTTCGTGAAATGGATTCTTTGTCCCGTAACTATTTATTGTAATAATTGAGGTTTTCCCATGTATCTTGGATGATGAGTCAGCTCTTCCAGGCCATCTTCCATTCCATCTTACATGCTGCAAGCTGGTTTCACTCATTAAAGGAAAGTGGTAAGAAAAATATTGTTTAAACATAGTGAGCGGATAGAAAATGAAGTGAAAGTTATTTCATCGAAAAAGAAAGTTAACGACATTTAGATTTCTTGGAGTACATCATTTTAGTAAGTATAAATCTTTGATTTAGTTTTCTTATGAATTTTTATTTCATTGTTCCGTCCATCCTATTTTAGTTTCTCAACTTTCTTTCAGATACATTAATCATAGTAGGGATGTTAGTAAGTTTTGTTATTATCATACTTTTTTCTGTTACTGTTAACCGTTAATCAATTTGCTTACTATTAACCATATCATTTATATTAGTGGGATAATCATAATCATATAGTCAATTATCGATAATTATCAGTTAACCGACTAACCGTTTAGTAAGTGATCCTACATGATTAGATCAGAATAATCAACCAATAATCAAACCTACAAAAGGCCTCCTCCTTTTCCAACGCAATATCTGAACATATATTAACTTATTAATTTTTTTTCGAAGGATATGTCACAACTATCTAAACATTACACACCATTTTACTTTATGGAGAGTAGCTAGATTTGTGACTACAAAATAAAATTAGTGCTATATCTAGAGATCCAGCCGAAAAAATCAGATAAAATTATGACTTAATAGATCCACACATTATATTTCAAGTAAATTACAAATTTATAGGAAAAAATCATATTATACGTAAAAATTGCGACAATGATTCATGGAAACAACGATACAAATTGTCAACAGAACAACTGATAAACCGATATTTGCACGTGTTTTGCCCACTATTCTTGACCGTTTGAGAGTCCATTCTCGTGTTTTAAACCGATTTCACGCTAGGTTGTGCATTTAAATCATATTTCAGGACCTGAAACGAAATGGGAAGCTTGGAAGCACGAGTTTTGGGTAAAAAACGGAGACTTGGCAGAAAGTGGAGCTGGAAGGGCAAATTACCCGGTCAGGTCACCCAAATACCCGACCGGGTAAAGGACTACCAAGACAAGGTATTCAACCAGAGGGACCCAGTCGACCCCCCGGGTCAGGAACCTTAAATACCCGACCAAATATTTTCACTCGATGTTGGGTATTTCCCCATGTCGATACGCGTCGTTTAACTAATACCCGATCGGTTCCCGTAATACCTGACCGGGTATTTGAACCAGGTTACGCAAACTCGGCCTGTTACAAGCAGATTGTGGGGTTTGGTCTATCATCCAAGTTTTAGATCTGAAAACAAAGTTTTAGAGAGAGAAAGTGATGAACCCAACCTTCAAGGTGACCTAGATCGAGTTTTGACACCATTGGAGCTCGATGGAAGCCTAGAGAAGCACCGATTGACAACTAGAAGCTGAATTTCATTCTCCCCATGATGATTTCTGCATCTGAAGTTGATTCTCTTCTCTCTCTATGGAGTAAACTCCCTCTCTCACCTAGGTATGAAGAACCCTAGATTTGTATGTTAGGCTTGATTGTATGAACGCAAGTACATGATCTCTTTATATTGATTATATTCAATTGAGGCATGGTTTTTGAATTGCATGAATCTTGATCACATTCTTGTAGTTTCTGCTTTGAGATAGAAAGAGAATATTTACATAGGTTGATAGAGCACCCTTAATTGAAGGTAGTGAATTGACTATTTTAGTAGATGAATCAATTCATTGCTATGTACTGGATTTAATCCAGAAGAGGAGGTTTTGCACTTTAGGGCCTTAGTTCGTATACTCCGGTGGAGGTTAGTCGCCCGTCGGGTATTCAAACTGGGAGGGTCTGAAGACCTTTAGTCGAGACTTCAGACTGAATAAGAACCTTCCGCAGACCGCAGTATAAATATCATTATATCTGTACTTGATGAATTACAACTTGGTTTAACTGCAATCTAGGGGGAACCATATCTGGGTAACCTCTCCCGAACTTGAATCACAACTTTACTGCTTTGTGTTTGCTTAGATTAGTTACAATTTCACTACACTTAAATGGCTAGATAATAAGAACTTCACTGAGTAGTCATTACATCTAGGACCCGAGTTGACAAATAAAGCTAAACCCGTATACTACGCATTAGTTTGT